AATAACATATAGTCCAGTAGATACAAGCTATTTCCTTGAGGCCAATATGGAACTCCTCAGAAATTTATATTACAAAGTTCACCCTAAAGTTATTATGCCTGTTTGATCGCTTTTAAGAAACAGCGGTTGAAGCAGTGAGATTGTAGGGCTGCCCTTGTCGTTTTCTTAGGAAACCCTAGGTATACTGAAAGTGTAAATAACTGTGTTTGGAGGAGAACAAGGGCTATGTCTGGAATTATTCACGTGTAGTTTAATTTGTGTCTTAGTTTAACAGTTTAACTATAGCTTAATTGTTCATTAGTCTGGGGAATAACAGCCTTCAGAAGGACTCTGCTGAGAGAAAGAGAGGGTGGTATTTTCTAGAACACCTGCATAAGAGGTAGGGGTGTGGCTCATGTGGTAGTATGACTGCTTTGCTAAGTATGAGGCCCTGGGTTCAATCCCAGTACCACCAAACGAAAAGGAAGGAAAGAAGGAAGGGAGGGAAGGAGGAAGGAAGGAAGGGAGGGAAAAAGGAAGAAAAAAAGGAGGAAGGAAGAACATACACCCTCAAATGGACAACTATTCAAGACTGAAAAATCTGTTCACTCAGATAAATATGAGAAGGACCTCTTTCTAAATTCTTGGAATTTTACCAAGTAAAGATTTTATTTAGATCCAAGATACTTTAAAATACACTTGCTCTTGCTAGAATGGTTAGTTATTACAAGCTAGTGAGAATTTGTTTCAATCACTGTTAGTACTAAGATGAAATTCATGCAACAGAATTCAACATGTTTATCGTTTAGAAGTGGTTTTACTAAATTAACAATATGGTGCAACAATTGCCATAATCCAGTTCCATGACCTTTGCCTCACTCCCTAATCCCTACACCCTTAACATCTCCTTGTAACAGAAGCTTTGACCCTTTGCCCTTTCCCCATTTCTCTCTGCTTCCTGTCCACCATGAGGTGACCAACTTCTGCTACACACTCTCCACCAAGCCTGTTCTATATCTTCACAGGCCCAGAATCAATAAAGCAAAGACTATGGGTTAAAAAACTTCAAAACTTGTGAGTTGTTCTGTCAGGAGTTTTGGTAACAGAGGTTAAGAAAAAAACGAATATTAATTGTGTACTCTAAACCAAAGCAAGCAGCAAAACTTGTTCTCAAAGTCAACCTTACATTTCTGCATGCTGAGATTTACAAAGAGGTAGACTCAGACTTTGGAAAGAGCACAATAGGCATTTTACTGGATTCGGCTGGTAATTAAGTCTATAAGCACTTGAGATTCAGGCTGTGGAGATGACAGAGGAATCTGCCTCGGGTTGTGATTATTTGTGCAAAGTAGGATAAACAAACAGCACTTAGGATGTAAGTTTCCTGCTGGGCCAGTTTTATAATAAAGACATTATTCTATTCAGCTGAACGTTCCATGGATTTCAATAAGTTATTTCCTTAGAAGTAATTTAAGAACATAGCCAATAGGGTACTGTGTTCACATAAGAAGAAATATCTGGTTTATCACTCTTTCATCAATTTGAATATGAATACTCATAGATAGTCTTACTATTCTACACACTTTTGAATCAGAAGACTTAAAACCTAAAGATTATTTAGAAAATGAAGAAGGCGACTGATTATCTCTGCAGAGGTGAGGAAACCTTTTTTTCCTGCTAGGGGCCATACAAAATGATCAGTAGGGACAAACTGGTGTGGCTAGCGAAAACAAAGCTTACAAGAATGAATGTCTCAATACGCACTAAATGATTTCGCAGGCCTTTTTATGACCCTTCTGCCAGCCATTCCCCAAACTTGTAGGAAAATTGGCTGAACTTTTACCACTAGGCATTTACTTCTTGACTCCTTAAAAGGATTTTATTCATTGGGAAGTCTGTCATAAACATCTCCTATGGGATGGGTGACATTATATTACATTATATTTGAACGAAATCACTTGCTGAGAATACATTGTAGATGTTGCTTTTGTCTTTCTTCTTTTCCTTTAAAGAAGAGATTTTTTTTTCTCCCAGCCCAGATCTCTGCTTCTGGTGGGAGGTATTAGGCAGAACATTCTCTTTCCCAATCTTATTTCCCACAGCCCCACAGTGCTAGATGCATGACCAGAACTTGTTGAGCCACAGCTCCCCGTCTATAGCCATAGGGACTGGCTCATGGCCAGGGGCGCATGTCCAGCTCAAGCCAGAGTTCTTCCTTGGACTTTCCCAACTAGAGTTGGTATAAAAAGACTTTGTTTCTTCTGTGGAGACAAAGTGATAGGAAGCTCAGGCCACAGATGCTTAAATCTATGCTTCTAGCGTCCTGCTATGTAGCCTAAGAAGAGAATGAGGAGTCAAGGCAGAGAGAAGCAGAACTGAGTGTCAGAATGTCCTAATGGTATTGGAGACCCCGAATCCATTGCACCAGAAGGCTAAAGACATGCCCTTTCTTGGTAAATTTACATGTGCATAAATCCTCCTTTTTCTTAAACTAGTACGGCTGGAGCATCTGTCATTTGTAAACAGAGGTTAGAGAAGTCCAAACACGTCTTAAAAAAGGATTACAGGGAAAATGGGGAAGGTAGTGTTTTAGAGCTAGCAGTGGGGGGGGTGGGAAGGGGAGGTTGGTCTTATTTGGTCTGTGGTAAAATAAAGGTCATTGTGTTCCATAGTTCCTAAATATATTTTTGAACTATTTTCAAGTGAATTGAGAGGTGGAGCAAGGTGACCATGTCTCTGAAAAAGCAAAGTACTATTACGCTAAGATCGCAATGGCCTGACAAGCTCTTGGACTACTGAATTTAGGTTGAGGCATTAGAAAAAGAGTGAGAAGGTACAGATATTTGAGATGTTAGTACTATATGTTGGTCCAATAAGTCAATCTGTCCATCAAATAAGAGACGTAGAACATTCTAGAAGGGGAGGCACTGTTTAGATCTATAATTGGTCCCTGGAAGTGTTTAAAATTTATTTCATAAGTACAACAAATTTTGTTTATTAACAGAAAGAGGAACATGACCAATGAAAGAAAGATAGTTTATATTTTCTCCAGTCCCTGAAATAATTAGTGCTCTGCATTGTTTAAATTACGATCCAGTAGATCAAATTGTCATTCAAAAATAAATGGTACTGAGGCTGGGAAAGTGGCTCAGTGGTAGAGCGCTTGCCTTGCATGCATGAAGCCCTGGGTTCGATTCCTCAGTACCACATAAGCAGAAAAAAAAAATGGAAGTGGTGCTGTGGCTCAAGTAGTAGAACACTAGCCTTGAGCTGAAGAGCTGAGGGACAGCGCCCAGGCCCAGAGTTCAAGCCCCATGACTGACAAAAAAAAATAATAAGTAAATAAATGGTACTATTTTTGTAAAAAAAAAATGAAATCGAGTGAGGTACCTTGTAATACTATTTTTTACAATATTTAACATGTGAGTGAGAAGTTGAGAGTTCCTGAATAGGAAAATTTTCTCTAGAATGTTTTACAATCATTTTCAGTGTTCTACATTTGTAACCAATTGAAAATATGGCCTCGATAGCTAAGAATGAAGGTGTGTGTGTGTGTGTGTGTGTGTGTGTGTGTGTATACTGGTTCCAGGGTCTGGGTACTATCTCTTAGTTTCTCTGTCAAGGCTGGTGCTATAGCTCTGGAGCCATATAGCTACACTTCTGGCTAATTGATCTGTGTGTGTGTGTGTGTGTGTGTGTGTGTGTGTGTGTGTGTGTGTGTGATACTAGGGACTGAATCCAGGGCCTTAGATATTCTAGGCAAGTTCTCTACCAAAGAGGTAAATCCCAAACTCTCTAATTAGTGGAGGATTTTTACTGATAAAGGCAAATTTATGAATGGTTTTTATCTTATTTTGTCTTGACCTTCAGTATATGTTTCATGCCATTTAAACCCTGGGAAAGTCTTATTTCAAGTCCAAAAGAAAAACCAAATTCATTTTCCAAGGTTTGCTATGGGGTCAAGATGCTGGGAGTGTCCCCTTCCTGAAGCTACCACATCACCCACTTCTTCCCACCCACCATGTGTTTCCAAGTTGCTCCTCGTTTTCCAGCTCTGCTTATGAGTAATAGAGGAAGGCGGCGTAAGAACAATGGTGTGTTCCGGGCTTTGCAGGAGTGGCGTGTATCAGAGGAGACGCTCATCCCAGGGGCCGCCACTTAGCGGGAGAGATCAACAGGCAGAACTGACGGTGGCGACTGCTGTGACACAGCATGGGGAAACGTCCTCGCTCTAGCCAGGCTCAGAAATATCTCCCAGTTAGTGTATTTTGCTGTTGTGGCTGTTGGTGACCCCCAAAGTGCCCACCCATGTCTAACCTGGGAAAAATCAATGCATACCTCTACACCTCTGTTTCAGTCTTGTGTAATCTGTAAGTGCACATACCACGGGAAACTTAGCAAAATGCCTGGCACCAAGTGTTGAAGGCGAACTCCTATTGAGTGGGGCTTTTTTCCCCTCCTGTGTGTCTATCCCTTTTCAGCACAAGTCTTTGTGTTTTCATCAAAATCAATGTACCTATTAAAATTTTTCTGCAGCTACGTAGACTTTACCCCTAACTATCCTTCTCTCCATTCAGCTAGGGGTAGGAAGCATCTTCTTCCTTGTTGAGTCTCTGTCTACCAGCCTGTACTTTCCAATGAGCCCCTGTCCTACCCCCGCCCCCACCCCCACGACCAGGGGCCATGGCTCAGGGCATCAGGTACTCCTTCCGCTTTGCTTCTCCTTCTCTGCCACTAAGCTTGTGCAGTGAAGGCTCAGATCCACTCCATTTGTGTTCTTCCCCTCTTCATCGACTTCCCTCTGATGAAGAACTATGCATTCTCTCCCTCTAAAAGGGCAAGAGACTCCAGCCTGGAGTTGGCATTCATGTGCTGAGGTCAGGCCAGATGCTGCGGGTCATGATGTGTGTCCCTGTGCACAGGCCTGGCTTTTTGTATTGTTGCCACTGAAGTGAGCTGAGCTGTGTGCATCACCAGGGACCAGGGGCCCCCATGTGCACCCATCACGTGATAATACTGACCTCTAGGGGCTGGCTTTCCCTCACAGAGCCTCTTTATCTTCTCTTTGAGTTCCAGGACAGTGAAGGCAGCCTCTTGCTTAGCTGTGGCCAAATCAGTTTGTAGCTTTTCCACTTTCTTCCTGTGCTTTAGTTTCTTCAAAATAACAATAAGGAGAACAAGAAGAACTTTCGTCACTAGAGACCGAAACATCAAAGGAATAGGAATCAGGAGAATTAATGATGTCTGGACAAACATTGCCTGCGAAGCCCCTCTTTGATCAAAAGCTCCCTTTATCTAGACTGAGTGCGGTTTGAGGTCTGGGACTCAGAGTGCATGTGCATTCTCTGTCAGAGAATTGGCCATAAAAGCCCACTGTCTGCATCGAAGGATCTTTTACCTCCAGAAGGATTTTGAATGTGGATCTGAGCCCTGTGGATTGGTTGTTTATCATGAAGACGACTTGAGAAATTGACTTTCCAGGGTGTGCGAATGCATACAAGTGTCACCTAGGCACTAATGGGTAGTGAAGATGCTTATAGATATTATTATAGTCCAAGATAAGAATGATTTTATAAGCAGCAGAGGACAGGAAAAACTTCCTATGAAAACGGTCTGATTTCTAAGTCTGCATCGTTGGAGGAAGTTGTTACATAATCAGAGAATTCACCCTGAGTCTTTTTTGACTAGATGATCCCTTCATGGATTTCAAAGTGGATGCGATTTGTCAAAAGTGGCTTCGTCTGCAATGACAATGACAAGCACTGCTTTTGTACCCTTGTGTTGCTCTTGGGTAGCTGCCTCTCCTCTGGAGAGCTCACCTTGCCAAGTCTTTGTGGCTTGCAATTAAGAAGCCCAGAAAACGAAGCATTAACATTGCCTGACAGACGTAAATCTTAGCAGGGAAAGGGATCATTTTTGCTTCAGTAGGAAGGAGTCTACTCTTCCCCCTAAGGGAGCACACTTGGGTGGTAGGAAATGGCTTTGTTCTTTGAGAGGAAAGCCAGTGAAATCAATTTATCACAGATATGATTAGACTGACAAGAAGCCTCTAATTCTAAAAATAGGTTATACCTCAACGTTAGAGCACTTTCCTAGCATGAGAGAAACTGACTTTAATCCCCACATAGAAGAGGGGGGGGAAGATTTGTCTTCCAGACCCAACATAAGATAATTAAGACAGCTATTGTTTAACCTTAATTGATGAGTGAAAATAGTGTGTTACTCAAAGGGACAGGTTTCAAGGAGTTTCTTCCTAGGGACAGGAGGGCAGAGAAGTGTTCTGGGCCGCAGCTCGGGTGCGCCTGGTCTTTGCTGCAGGTCTCCTAGGGTGGTGGTTAGCGTTCCTGCCATTCCTGCCTTGAAGCATCCACTGGTGTCAGGCACTGAGCAGGCCGACCCATGAAGCTTCAGGGCTGAGAAGCCTCTAGATGCGAACACCGTTTCCCTTCCTCTGAGTCTCAACTCACTAAAACCCTCTTCATAATCTGGCTTGCCATGTAGATGAGCTCAATGAGATGATCAGGAAATACATCTGGGCATTTGCTCGCTGTGTGTTTCATAGCAAACGATGGACTTGTCATGCTAATCTGCACCTTGAGCCATACCAGGGGCTTGCCCCATGCTATTTCAAGATTATTTCAAACTCAGATTCTTAGACTTGCCTTTTTCCTCTTAGAACTTTGGAGTAGATAGCGACAGGGAAAAAATACATAAATGTATGGCAAGAAGGAATTTAGAGACTCAAGAAAGAACTAATAGTGATATGCGCGTTGGAGTGTTGTGGATTAGCTCTAGTGACGGAGGCAAGTAGAACTGAGATGTATTGAACAATAATGGGTCAACAGATGTGTAGAGAGCCAAATAGATGTGAGAGATGTTGAAAATCATCAACTGTTCATAGTTGGCTTGAGTTACTGCTATTCACTATAAAATTATGTCACCATGTCTATAGGCTCAGACGTTTTCATAATAAGATCTTGGGAAGAGAAAGAATTGAAGCTTTGTTTCCTAATATTGCCACTCCCTTACTTCTTAATATTCACATTCTCAAATCATGTCACAACCAGTCACATGCCAGTGTTTCTCTAGAACTCTTCTCACAGCAGACTTTGATAGTAAATAAAGAAAAGAAAAAAATAATGCAATTTGGTAAGGATTAACAGGCTTGTTACTACAAGCTACTGTGGGTGACATAGTTAAGGAAGTGTCTACATTTCCATTTTTACAGGATGATTTGACAGATAGGATGTAGGAACACAGAATACAGACACAGTACTTCTCAAAAATCTTTTAAGACTTTCAACTTCTCTCTCCCTCCCTCTTTCCCTCCTTCCCTTCCTCCCTCCCCCTTCCTTCCTTCCTTCCTTTCTTCCTTCCTTCCTTCTTTCCTTCCTTCCTTCCTTCCCTCCTTCCTTCTCTTCCTCCTTCTCCTCCTCATTTATTTTGTTAGCTTTGGTGCTAAAGACTGCCCTGAGGGAGAGTCATAGATGCGAACAGGTGTTCAGCATTAAGCTCTACAGCTGCAGCCCCTCAACTTGTCAGAGAAGAAACATGATACTTCATTTTAAAAAGATCTAATTTTTAGACTACCAATTTTTGTCTTTCTCTTATAGTAATTGTACCTTCTGCTTTTTCTTATTGTATGCTGCTCTTCAAACCTGAGGCAGAAATTGAAAGTATTTAGTTTGGGAGTGAGAGTCTCCTGGGTACTGTCAGTGCTGAGGTACGGCTGACTTCAGGTTTCTAAGAGACTGACTATTCAAGAGAAGAGCAAGTTGAGTCAGTGTTATTCTAGATAGAACTAGATAGAAGAACTAGACAGAAAACATGAAGATTCAGGCTTCACCATAATGCAAGCAGTACCCTCCTGCCAAAATTACAGCCACATCCATCCATGACAAGAGAAGAATCCTGGTGAAGACTGGCCACCGGGGACTGTCAAGCAGAGCCTGGATGAACCTCTTCAAGCAGGCTTCGGCTAACCTCTGGGACCTGGGTCAGGAGAGATGAGGCGTTTGGCTCCCTCCCATCCTTTCCACTCCTGCCTTCCTTTGGGCTCCGTGAAGGGCACAACACTTGTCACAAAGGCCTGGCCCTAAAGACCTATAGGGCTGGCACACTGTCAGGAACACTTCAATGATAATTCTCAGACTTTTGAGAAGTTGGATAAGACAGCTTAGAATTCAAGAATTATGTGAATCGAAATGCACAACCTTCATTATTTAGCTATGAGGGAGAGGGGAGGGGAAATTAAATTTAAATTAAAAATTAGATGAGAGGCCTAGATTGCCCAAGGTTCTTGTGGGACCTTTCGAGGCAGATACTTAAAAAAAATAGTTTAACATCTATGCCTTTCCTTTCCTTTTCTCCAGACAAAACTGCTGTATGCTATTAATTCATAACATTAACCAAGCCCTTAGGGTACTTTGAACAATTCAATTTGCCAACATGTTTTCTCATTAGTCATAGACATCAAATGATTTCAGCAATGATAATATTTTCCTTTGCGTTTTTGGCCTTTCCTAGCCAGGCAACCCAAGTGTTGTACTTGAATTTAATGGAGTCTGTATGGTCTCCTTAGTAACAAGGGATTCTCTTTGGTGACAACTAGAAGCCTAGGAAACCTTGATGGCTTGGAGGCAAATTCCTGTAACCTTTCTTTTTTGCCCCTGTTTCTCCTACAGAGGAGGAAGGAAATCACATATCTGTACCTTGTTTTGAAAAGCAGTATTTATCAGTATCATATTGCTGGCTGGCTTGTATTATACCAAGTCTATGAGGATTAGAAATAACCAGGTCGCTATTTTTAGAAGAGTTTCAACACACAGTTGCTAGCACTGTTTAAAATTTACAGCTATTTCCATACACTTTGAATCATGGCCTTGGATTATGAAGCTGGGCTTTCTCACTTACTGGCCATGACAAATTAGGACAGGCACCTGACATCGCCAGGCTTTGGATCCCACTTCATAGGGCTGTGTGGGGAATCAAATGACATGATAGAAATGGTGGGGCCCAGGGCAGTGTCTGCAGTCTAGTTATATCCTTCTGTTTTGGCTGTTATTCCTTGATCACAGAAGGATAATGATCACATAAGGAAAATCTTTAACACTTCATTAAAACACTGTAGTGTCTTTTCTTTTTCCTCTCTCTCTTTCTCTCTTCCACTTTCTCTCCTCTCCCTCTTTTGTCAATACCTGGGTTTGAACTCAAAGCATCATATCTGTTTGGCTTCCTTGTTTAGCTGGAATTCTACACTTCCATCATGCCTTCAAGCTGGCATTTTGGCAGGTATTTTAGAGATGGAATCTCAAAAAGTTTTCTTTCCTGGAGTGATCTGGAGTCCCAGTCCTCCAGATCTTGGCCTATTTAGTAACTAGAAGTACAGGTGTGAGCCATCAACACCTGGATAATAGCAACTTTTCTAAAGATTTCTTTGTGTTACCTTACAGAAAATAAAATCTGTATTTGTTTGAAAGTAAGACTTTTCTTTTTCTTCTTTAAAAAAAATGTTTTCTCTATGATTGCACTGACCTCTTCCTTACTTGGTATGTGTAGACGAAACCTAAATGTTTGGTCCTGATTCCGTGTCCATCCAGAGCTAGTCTGATGCCCGAGTGGCCCCAGGGAGGGCTTCCTGCATGTTATGAGCGGAGGAGCACTCTCAGTCTGTAACTCATGCTGCCATGGCAGCACTGTCTTGTGTCTGCCAGGAAACAGCCTTTTCCCCACTTTGCTTGACTCTGTCCATCACTTAACATTTGCTTGAATCTCTCCATCACTTGACAGCACACTTCCATTACTAAGATACACTCGCTTGTCTCCAGAGGACCCCTGATCACATTCTCACGACCAGGAATTATACAAGAGAATAGGTGCTTCCTGTCTTTACGATCCCAACAGCCATCACAAATAACAAAACTAATCAAATGAATCGCATTTGGATACAACTTGGTATCCAAATTTCGCATCTCTCACTTCACTTTTTTATTTACAACATCCTCAGGAGAATACTTTAAGGCCTAGGATGTCAAGTGTGTGTGCTTTATCTTCCTTCCCAGCCCATGGTGGCTCCTGTGTGGGATCCTCTCACACTGCGTGGCAGAGCTGTCAGCCAATCCTTAACCTGCACTCACAGTGGCCTTTCCTCATTG